CAGACACGTGGTGCCTCTGCCTCCGTAGCAGGCTGCAGCATGGGCGTGGGGCTGTGTGATGTGAGGGCCCTCACCACTGCCTCTGCCCTGCCCCCAGGAGAAGGACAGCTGGAACCGTGTGGCCCGCACAGTGGACCGCCTCTGCCTGTTTGTGGTGACGCCCGTCATGGTGGTGGGCACGGCTTGGATCTTCCTGCAGGGTGTCTACAACCAGCCCCCGCCCCAGCCTTTTCCCGGGGACCCCTACTCCTACCACGTGCAGGACAAGCGCTTCATCTAGGCCGGCCTGGGGGGCAGCCATGTGGACGGCGGGTCTGGGAGGAGTGACACCAAGGAAGGCCAGCTCCTGGCCCTGCGCTGTGGCCCTCAGGCTGGGGCGGATGCCGAGGAAAGGAGGGAGAAGCCCCACTCCCCGATGGCGGTTCCTTGGCAAATAAAGACAGGAGCCACTGAGATGGTCTGAGGGTGACATAGCGGGAGGGGCAGGCAGGATAATCTGAGGGAGGCAGGAGGCGGGAGGCTGGCCTCCTGGGAGAGCTCTATGAGGGGCCAGGCAGGTAGAGGCCTCTGCTCTGCCTCCCCTTCCCCACGAAGTGAAGTGGAGCGGGCAGGAAGCTGCGCCCTCCCTGCCTCCTCCAGCCTCCCTCCTGCCACCCACCCCCAGCCTGACCTGGAGCAGAGGCTGGAGGCACCTCCCTCTGCCCAGGCTGCAGGGGGAAGGAGGTTTCTGCAGGGGCAGGAGCATGAGGGTTCCAGAGTGTCCTTCCCCAGCCTTTCCTGCCTTGACCACTCTGTGTCTGGGTCCCTCTGGGAAGCCGAGGACTGGAGTGGAAGGGTTAGATCTGGCACCCACAAAGGCTCGGGGTCAGCCTGAGGTCACACGCACAATTCTAGAGCATCAGAACTCAACACCCCTCCAAAATTCCCCCCTCATCACCTACTCCTCCTTCCCAAAGTAGGGTTGCCATGCAATATTTGGGACATATGTATACTAAAAAATTATTGTTCATCTAAAATTTATCGCATATTTTTATTTGCTAAATCTAGCAACCCTACCCCTAAGGCAGCCCCACTCAATCCCATCCCGAGGGCCACATGCCGAGGCTGCAAGAGCTGGGAGATGTGCGTCTGAGTGGCAGCCCCTCCAAAGTGGCCCCAGCCAATGAAATGAGGCAGAAGTGATGCTGGGTCACTTCCCAGATTAGGTTACGAAAGACACGAGACACTTTCTCACTCGCTCTCACACCAGTGGGGTCTCTCGCTTTGGGGGAGCCGGCAGGCATGTTGAAGAGCCCCATGGAGAGGCCTTCGTGGCAAGGAACTGAGGCCTCCTGCCAGCAGTCGTGTGAGTGAACTTGGAAGTGGCTCCTGCAGCCCAGCAGGGCCTGCAGACGAGATCGCAGCCCGGCACACACTTCACTGCAGGCCCCTTAAAGTCCCTGAGCCAGAACCACCCAGCTAGGCTGCTCCTGGATTCCTGACCCGCAGAAGCCGCGCAGGGTAATAAATCTTTGTTGTTTTAAGCAACCAAGTTTTTGAGTAATTTGTTACGCCAGCAGTGTGCCCTTGGGTGAGCCGCTCCTCACCTCTTCGCTTGAATTTTCTCATCTGCAAAATGTGTGTGCAATAAGTCCTACTCATGGGGTATGGTGAAAATCAAATTTCCAGTGGGAGTAGAGGTGTGACCTGAAAATTTAAGGGGTGGCTACTTAACCCATTGCTCATCTGGGGGCTTGGGTCACGGAAGCTGGGTCTCTCTGGGGGTCTCCTGCATGTGACTGAGCGGATAAGAACAGGCCACAGAGGGCCCAGTTATTCACCTTCTTTTTTTTTTTTTTTTGAGATAGAGTCTCATTCTTTTGCCTGGGATAGAGTGAGTGCCATGGCGTCAGCCTAGCTCACAGCAACCTCAAACTCCTGGGCTCAAGCAATCCTACTGCCTCAGCCTCCCGAGTAGCTGGGACTACAGGCATGCGCCACCATGCCCGGCTAATTTTTTTTTTTTTTTGTATATATTTTTAGCTGTCCGATTAATTTCTTTCTATTTTTAGTAGAGACAGGGTCTCGCTCTTGCTCAGGCTGGTTTCGAACTCCTGAGCTCAAACAATCCGCCTGCCTCGGCCTCCCAGAGTGCTAGGATTACAGGCGTGAGCCACCGCGCCCGGCCTAGTTATTCACCTCCTTGACATACAGGCTTGGGGTCTTCACAGATCAGCCCATTTCCCTCAGAGGACATCGGTGACCTCCTTAGCTCAGATATATAGAAGGTGAGATTTTTAATTTTTACATGTATTTAAAACCAAAATTGACCTTGTTACTTCTGCCTTCCAGTATGAACTGTCCACAAATTCAAGGTACGAATCTTTCATTTTCCCCTCTGATTAGGAAAGCCAGGTTGAACTCCCACCTGTCAGATGAGCCGAAAGTCCAGAACTTCCCAGGGAAAGGTGTCCACCCACTCAGGGAGGGGCTGGGTCTCAGGCAGAGATGAGGGGGTGCTTGAATCCTGAGCCGTGGTCTTCGCTTCTCTCTGCCACTCGGTGGCGCTGTTGGCAGCGGGTTTTAGGCCACCCGCGGGGCGGGTCCTCAACTGCATGGCGCCTTGCTCAGGTGGCTGTGGACCTTCCAGACACGACAAGCCCGAAATGCCACGCACGACCAAGCATTCCTCTTGTTCAGGCTCTCAGGGTCACAGCGGTTTCCACCAACAGCACCCACCATTGGTCCACTCTGGTTGACATGGGACTCCATCTCCTTCCCTCCCCAGGAGGTCACACTCACAGGGACAGCTTCCTGCAAAGCCAAAGGGGGTTCCTACACTCTCTCCAGACCAGCAGTGCTACCCACCCTCTTTTGATGGGTGACAAATCAGTTAGGAATGTGTTGGGCTGCAAGGAACAGAAAACCCAATGAACCACAGCTTAAACAAACAAGGTTTCCTTTTTCTCACATAGTAAGAATATCAAAGCGGAGGTGGCTGCATCGGCTCAGCTGTCCGACAAAGCTACCAGGGACCCAGGCTCCACCTGCTCAGCCCTGCCTCTGTGGCACGTTGGCTTTCGTCCTCAGGCGACTCCTCACAGATGACTCACCCTCCTGGAGGCTTCTCCGGTCTCTCTCCCGGGCAGAGACGGGAGGAAACAGGAGTGCACATCTGCACACATGGAGAGGCAGCGTAACTCACCCCAGAGGGGAAATCGGTCTCTGTGATCGTCCTTTCCCAGCCACACCTGTGGGGAGCGAAGTCAGAGATGGGAAAGCCTCAGCCTGGGGTGGGGTGGGGAACGGGGGTACGGATGTCCACTGACTGGCATCGCTTCCTGACACAGAAGCCATTCATGATCTCTGGCAAAGTGTGGGCTCGGAGGGGACTGGTGAGGTAGAAAGAGCCTGCTCTGCGCAAAGGGTGAGGGAACTGAGTCCCGGGGGCGGGCACAGAGGGCAAGGCCTCGAGGCAGGGAGTCTCTGAGGGGAGGAGGAGACATCGGCTGTGGGAACTCCAGGGAGAGGGGGCCGCACCGAGAGATGCTCACGAGGGTGATGCTTTGGGGTGGGGGTGCCAAAGAAAACAGAGTGGGGGCCCGAGCAGGACTGAAGAAAAGGATGGCAGAGCAGCCACCCCAGAGTAACTCAGCGGAAGAGGAGGCAACGCCAGAGACGACTGGGGGAGGCAGGTATACCACTACCGTCCCCTCCCCGCACCCCGTGAAGTCCTGGCCAGGACAGGAGGAACCTGAGGCCCCGCTGCAGGGGGCCGGGTGCTGAGCCAACCACCTTTGGGCCTGCGAGGACAGAGTGCCTCGGCTGACCGCCAGCTTCCTGGCGCACGTGGAGATGCTGCAGACACCATTCGCTGTGGGGGAGCGGGCGCTTCCCTCCAGCTCCGGGAGGCAGCTTCAAGGGTGCGTGGCACGTATGAGAACCCGAGATTTTTGTCTTGCCCACGTCCTGAGACACACTGACCCGTCTGCTTTGGGTAGGTGGCCGGAAGGCAGGAGACCTGAGCCCTTGGCCACAGCTGGCAGCGAGACCCTCGGCTCCCGGATCAGCCTCAGCCCCAGCCTTTGCCCACCACAAACCACAAAGTGGGAAGGGCTCACTTCCAGCCCCCCCTTCCCTCTGCGTCCCCTAATCTAACTCTGGGGTGCAGCCTCAACGCTTGTCCACCTGCCTCACTGGACTGGGAGTTCCCATGGGAAGCTCAGCCTCACCCTGGGTCTCCCTGGCCTTGTACTGTGCCTGCCATACGCTGGGGACTCCATCGGTCTGTTGGATGATTTAATAAATACCGAGGAGCCTCTATTCAGGGGCTGTCTTAGTCCCAAGAGCCCCAAGTTCCAGATCTTTCTCCTTACTTCAGAGCTTACCAGGTCTGTGTCCCCTGTCTCAGGGCATGAGAGGACCCAGAACTGGCACCCTAATTTGTGTGAAGGTGTCAAAGTCTGCGGGGCATAATGCTTCTTTGTCCTAGGCACTCACCTTCAATGTCATGGCCCCATGGAGTGACCCAGGAGATGTCAGGCTGGTGGGAGAGGTTTGGGGCCCTCAGCCACATCACAGAGAAACCCAAGCACAAAACATGCCGACCCAACAGCCTTCTCCCCTGCCCAGATCTGACTCCCTGGTGGGAGCAGGAGGAGCGAGAGGGTATCAGCCCCTCTGGAGCCTGGGTCAAGTTCCTCAGCGACCTGCCTTCTCTCCCATACCCAGCTGTCCCTAGCCGTGTCCTTAGTCCCCCAGCTAGAAAACCGAGCTGGGACAACCGAGTCTGAGAGTGGGGATGGAGGGTGGACCGTCTCTGCTGGGGCCCCCTCTCCCTTCCTTGGCCCAGGTAACCTGAGCCCAGCATTGTGTCCATCCTGGAACAGCTGACAATGCTGTGGTCAGACAGCTGGTGGGGCTGGGCCGGGCAGGCCGGGGCGGGAGTGCAGGCTGTTATATGACACCCAGAGCCCATCTCTCTCTACCCCAGACCAGGAGAGCAGTCATCACACCCTGTCACTGCAGAGAGTTGAGGCACCATGCATGGGGGCCAGGGGCTGCTGCTTCTCCTGACACTGCTGGCCAGCTGCCTGGGTAGGACACAGGGGAATTGGGGCCTGGGAGGCCCAGAGCGGGAGTCCAAGGCCTCGGGGGACAGGGAGGCTGGAGGGCTATAGGGGCCTGCCCAAGCCCAGCTCTCTGAGTCTCCACTTCGCACTCCCATGGCCTTACCCCTCTGTCTGCCTCAAAGCTCCTGCCCCTGTCTGTTACAGGGGTGCAGGGCCGGAACCAGGAGGAACGCCTGCTTGCAGACCTGATGCGTGACTACGACCCCCACCTGCGGCCTGCCGAGCGCGACTCGGATGTGGTCAATGTCAGCCTGAAGCTCACCCTCACCAACCTCATCTCCCTGGTGAGCTGCAGAAGGGAGGAGGCGTGCTGGGCCTCTTGGACCTGCTGGGGAGAGACAGGGCCAGCTCTAGCAGCCAGGAGGGAGGTGGAGGAGGGTCTGGACCTGCAGGAGACAGGCTGGGGGTCTGGAAAACTCCCACGGTTTGCGGGGAGCTGCTTGGCCCCATCAGTGGCCTATGGGGACAGATTCTCAGGGGAGGACAAGTCATGAGGGGCTGAGCTCTCCATTCTGCACCCCTAGAATGAGCGAGAGGAGGCCCTCACCACCAATGTCTGGATAGAGATGGTAAGAAGCAACCCTGCCACCCTCCTTCTATCGGGGCCCCCACCCTGGGTCCTAAGGCCTCCTTAGAGCTGCCTGCCCCTCCCTGCCCCTTTTGTCCTCCCTGGGCTGGACTCTCATGCCTGGGGGCACAGCGCAGAGAGCGGAGGCCTAGAACCACCCCTGCCCCTGCAGCAGTGGTGCGACTACCGCCTGCGCTGGGACCCACAAGACTACGAAGGCCTGTGGGTGCTGAGGGTGCCATCCACCATGGTGTGGCGGCCAGACATCGTGCTGGAGAACAAGTGAGGAGGGGACACAGGTGGGGAGGACAAAGGACACAGGGTCAGGGCCCAGGAGGACGAGGGGAAAGCAGCTGTGGGAAAAGAGAAAGATGAGCAGAGGGTGCAGACCAGGCGCCAGAGGGGTGGGAAGACCAGACAGAGCAGGTGCCAGGGTCAGGGCCCGGGGTACAGCTCTGACCCTGCACCTGGCTCCCTCCCCTCTGGTCTGGGCCACCTGGGTGGGGCTTCCCCCCTCCCTGTAACATGGGGCCACTGACGGTTCCTAGAGAAGCTGGCAGGGGTCAACAAGACAGGCATGAAAAGTGCTTCACTCAGGGCCTGGCATGTTGCAAGAGATTAACAGACGTTAGTCGCTGTTATTATCACTTTTGTTATTATTATTAAAGAAAGCAGCAGAAAGAGAAGCAGAGGCTCGGAGGTGGGGCCTGAGGGAGCCTGGCAGGGTGGTGGGGGTGGCAGGGAGACTGCTGGGGGCATGTAGTGGTTCCAGGTGGGGACCAGTCAGCAGCGGGGCAGAGGGCTGGTCTGGGGCTGCGGGGTCTGCATCTAAGCCGGGTGGCCTGGCCTGTGCAGTGTGGACGGCGTCTTCGAGGTGGCCCTCTACTGCAATGTGCTCGTGTCCCCTGATGGCTGCATCTACTGGCTGCCGCCCGCCATTTTCCGCTCCTCCTGCTCCATCTCAGTCACCTACTTCCCCTTCGACTGGCAGAACTGCTCCCTTGTCTTCCAGTGAGGCCGTGTGTGGGGTGGCTGCCCCAAGAGGGGCCTGGGCAGGGGTGGGGGACTCGAGGATTCTGGCCTCAGCTCTGGCAGCACCTAGAGGCCCGGGGCCTGGGCCACCTCTCCTGGGCCGCTGTGCCCATCTCAGGCCACACCTAAAGGTGCCCAAGCTCTCCCTGCTAAGCCCCAGGCCCCCCACGCATACCCCTTCACTGCCTCAGTTTCCCTGCCATGTGCCCCAAGGGGAGAAGTAACATCTCGGGTGTGCGGGTGAGAAGGCACACACATGCACACAGCATGCACGCCTGCATGCACACAAAACCACTGCACACTACAGGCCCAGGGGAGGCGGGGCTGTCTGTGAGGGGCAGGCCTGGCCAAGATCCTAGTGCAGCCTGTCTGCACCCCGGGGGCCTCCAGGTCAACCTCCTCGTGCATAAATGTGGGAAGGGGGCCTGGGTGAGGGTTTTCCTGTGTTTTAGAAAAGCAGTCTTTCTACGAGGAAACCTGGCAGGCAGATGCCTTCAATAAGCGGACGAAGGGTCATCTTTCAGTAGGCACGTACTTTGTAACCGTCACCCCTGCTGCCCGGTGGGCTGATCCGGGCCCTCCGGCCAGGCAGGGCACTGAGCCGCAGCCTCCCAGCCCTTCAACTCAAACTTCTCCAACCCCAGAGAGCCCCCGCACCCCCGAATCTCACCACTGGGGTTTTACGGGGAACTCAGAAGCGTGGGCTGCATTTTTCAAGGCAAAACTGCCCACAGTTGCCTTCAGACGGCATCTCTGTGACCTCCTGGCAGGCCCACCCACACTCCCATCCGGCCTCTCCCTTGGCGCCCCCAGGTCCCAGACCTACAGCACCAGTGAGATCGACCTGCAGCTGAGCCGGGAGGACGGTCAGACCATCGAGTGGATTTTCATCGACCCCGAGGCCTTCACAGGTAACCCCCACCCGCTGTGGGGGCCAGGCCAGACCAAGGTCATGCCCCTCCCATGTAACTCAAAATGAAAACTAGGGTAAACCATGAAATAAGCGTTTTAAATGGCCCAAGAAAGTTCCTAGTTTTCCTGTGATAATGACCCCCATTTTGGAGGAAGGGATCAAGTGTCCAATCTCCCACCTCACTTCTCTCCCTGGAGGCTGCCCCTGCCCCTGCTCCTTAAGGTCCATGCCGCCCCCACAGCGGGCTCACGTGGGCTGCAGGGGTCTGCCCAGCACGCACTCCCCACGCCGCCCACAGAGAACGGGGAGTGGGCCATCCGGCACCGGCCGGCCAGGATGCTGCGGGACGCGGCGGCACCGGCTGAGGCAGCGGGCCCGCAGAAGGTGGTGTTCTCCCTGCTCATCCAGCGCAAGCCCCTCTTCTACGTCATCAACATCATTGCCCCCTGCGTGCTCATCTCCTCTGTCGCCATCCTCATCTACTTCCTTCCTGCCAAGGGTAACTGGAGCCTCGGGAGGGGAGCCGTCCCCCATCCAGCAGCACAGGGGACACCCGGGAGGCCAGGGCAGGCCCTGCCCAGGGCATAAGGTGGCACCACGACCCAGGACAGGGGCAGTGGGCTCCTTCTGGGGTGAGGAGGTTCCTCTGTGGGTGGGGGGAGGTGCAGACCTGCTCTGAGTATCTCCCGATCATTGGCAGCCGGGGGCCAGAAGTGTACTGTCGCCATCAATGTGCTCCTGGCCCAGACTGTCTTCCTCTTCCTTGTGGCCAAGAAGGTGCCCGAGACGTCCCAGGCAGTGCCGCTCATCAGCAAGTGAGGCCAGCCCGCCCTCCTACCCTCCCTGCTTGGGGCCTTCTGGCACCACTCTCCTGCCCTCTCCCACCTCACCATCCTCACTGCAGGGGACCTGAGGGGAACAGCTGCTAAGGGTAGGGGTGGCATCTGGGTATAGGTGCCTAAGGGCCACCCCAGTCCCCTGCCCACCCACCCCAACAGGTACCTGACCTTCCTCCTGGTGGTGACTATCCTGATCGTCGTGAACGCTGTGGTGGTGCTCAACGTGTCCTTGCGGTCCCCACACACACACTCCATGGCCCGAGGGGTCCGCAAGGCAAGGCCCCTCCCTGCCCGCTCCAGCATCCTGCTACCCCTCGTGCGTCCCTCTGTGCCCATCCCTGGCCGCAGTCCTCACCTGCTGCATTCAGCCACAAACCTGTTCTGTGTGTATCTTGAAGCATGTGCCAAAGTGGATTAATAATAACACTGAGTGCTTACTAGGTGCCAGGGACGTTACAAATATTAACTTAGTGGCCAGATGCAGTGGCTCAGGCCTGTAATCCCAGCACTCTGGGAGACTAAGATGAGAGGATCGCTTGAGCCCAGGAGTCCGAGGCCAGCCTGGGGAACAGTGAGACCCTGTCTCTACAAAAATAAAACAAAATTAGCCAGGTGTGGTGATGCGTGCCTATAGTCCCAGCTACTCAGGAGGCTGAGGCAGGAGGATTGCTTGAGCCCAGGGGTTTGAGGATACAGAGAACTGTGATCACACCAGTGTACTCCAGCCTGGGTGATGGAGCAAGACCCTGTCTCCAAAGGAAAAAAAAAACCAAAAAAGCAAATATTAATTTATTTAATCTTCATAAAACCCCTATCAACTTGGTATTATTATCATCTTCATTTCACAGATGAGGAAACTGAGGCACAGAGAGGTTAAGTAGCTTGCCCAAGGTCACACAGCTAGCAAATGGAGGCAGCAGGATTTTGCCTGAGCAGTCGGATTCCAGAGTCTGTGTCATGTGCAGCCCACCTGGAGTAGTCATATGCGGCCCTTGTTACTAATGCAGATTCCCCGGCTCACACCAGGCACCGTAGGCCAGAATAGCAAGGGGGTGGGGAACAGGAATCGGTGGATTTGTAACAAGCGCCTCGGTGATTCTGACGTGCACAAAAATTTAGGGGCCCAGGCTTCATGTTCAGAACTGAACAGCTGGCCGGGCGCGGTGGCTCACGCCTATAATCCTAGCACTCTGGGAGGCCGAGGCCGGAGGATCGTTTGAGCTCAGGAGTTCGAGACCAGCCTGAGCAAGAGCGAGACCCCCATCTCTACTAAAATTAGAAAGAAATTATCTGGACAACTAAAAATATATAGAAAAAATTAGCCAAGCATGGTGGCACATGCCTGTAGTCCCAGCTACTCGGGAGGCTGAGGCAGTAGGATTGCTTGAGCCCGGGAGTTTGAGGTTGCTGTGAGCTAGGCTGACGCCACGGCACTCTAGCCCAGGCAACAGAACCAGACTCTGTCTCAAAAAAAAAAAAAAAAAAAAGAACTGAACAGCCAAGCTGTGGCAGGGCCAAGTCACTGACCCAATGTGCTGCCTCCAGGGCCCTGGCAGCACGAGCCCTTCATGACAGCCTGCAGCTTCTCAGCCAGTTGCCCACGCTCAGCCACCCAGAACCACGTATTGTTCTCTCTAGGTGTTCCTGCGGCTCTTGCCCCAGCTGCTGCGGATGCACGTTCGCCTCCTGGCACCGGCGGCTGTGCAGGACGCCCCACCCCAGCTACAGAATGGCTCTTCCTCGGGGTGGTCGATCACAACTGGAGAGGAGGTGACCCTCTGCCTGCCTCGCAGTGAACTCCTCTTCCAGCAGCGGCAGCATCATGGGCTGGCGAGGGCAGCGCTGGAGATGCTAGGTGAGGCACAGTGTGTGTGACACTGGAGACACTCCTCTCCAGGGACCCCAGATGGGGAGCCAGGCACAGCAGATGAGTATTGGGTGAGCGTCTAGATCAGGGAGATGGGGGCTGGAGCCCTTAAGGAAAGACCACTTTGTCTGCCTGTTTCTCCTCCATTCTACTCCCAAACCTTACCTCTGTCAACATCAGAGAAAGGTCCAGAGACTGGACAGAGTCAGGAGTTCTGCAGCAGCCTGAAGCAGGCGGCCCCAGCCATCCAGGCCTGTGTGCAAGCCTGCAACCTCATTGCCCGCGCCCGGCACCAGCAGAGTCACTTTGACAGTGTAAGCTGTGTTGGGGTGGGGTGGGGTGGGGCAAGTACCTGGGCTTGGACCTGTGAAGGGGGCAGGGTGAGTGGGGGGGCCAAGATGGGGCAGTGGGATGGAAAAAGTGGAGCCCAGAACATGGAAGGGTGGGCCAGGGGACCATGGAAGAAGCCACCAATTGGGGCCTGGATGTAGGTAAGAAGGGCCAAGGAAATGGAGAACGGAGGCCTGCTGGAAGCCCAAGGATGGTGGAGGGATCCAGGGCAGGCTTGGTGCCACTGCTGGTCATCCCACATCCTGCTTCCCACCATCAGGGAAATGAGGAGTGGTTCCTGGTGGGCCGAGTGCTGGATCGTGTCTGCTTCCTGGCCATGCTCTCACTCTTCGTCTGTGGCACTACGGGCATCTTCCTCATGGCCCACTACAATCAGGTGCCCATCCTGCCATTCCCTGGAGATCCTCGCCCCTACCTACCCTCGTCAGAGTGAGCCAACCAATTGCTGCTGGGCATGTGGGAGTCATCTACGTGGGTAACACTGCTGAGGTCGTGACCGTGCTCTTTGGGAAGTGTCCTTCCTGACTGTGGGAGCCAAACAGCCCTGAGAAAAGCCAGAGAAATAAAGAGACAGAGCTGGAGTCCTGGAGTGGCTGGGGATGGGCTGTGGTTAGGGTACGTTGTTAAGGTCAGCACCCACGTGGCATTGCCTAGCTCATCCTGACACTAACAACTCCCGTTAGCGAACTCCCCTCCCTTCAGCAAAGCTTTATCAACTCCCATCATTTCAAAGCCCGAAGGACTCTGTTTTCTATGATGCCACTAACTGGGCAAGGTCCTAACCCTTCAGGCTTGGCACTGGCTCCCCTTTGACAAGTTCTCCCTAAAGGAGGGCAGTCAGGAGAGGCGAGCAGCATAGCAGCCAGCACTGTCTTGAAAGGGCAGCAGCCCACACCAGCTGGCATCTCCCTCCCCTGCCTTCTGGGTGCCGTAAGCACCCAGTATTCACCTGCACCAGTGGTTTTTCCACTCACATGCATTTTTTTTTCTTTGCCATTGATTACAAAAGATTTGAGTTTTGTTATCTTTTTTTATTGTTAAGATAGGAGCTCCTCTCAGCATTATGGACAAACAGGGGTCACTACCCCCTCATGTTTCATATGGCAGAGTAAGAGGGACTGGTGCTTAAACAAAGTTTGGAGTCCAGAATTCCCAACTCTGACCCAATCTCAGACGCTCTAAGAAAGAGTCTATGGCCTGAAAAATGGACCCTTCTTCCCAAAGGCCAGGGTATTTACAATGATCCCAAAGATGGTTAAGACAAAGACAAGCCAGGCAGGGCAGCTTGGCATTAACAAGGAGACCTCGATTGGCCTCCGCTGGCCCTCCTTATCAGGAAATAAGACAGCAAGCTGATGTCCTCCTAGGGGAGAGGCAAGGCCCTGCTCTGAGAGGACAGCTGGAGCCTGAGTTCTGCTGGTCACCGGGGCCGACCTTGGGCAAGTCACTTACGCTCCTTGAGCCTGTTTCCTCACCTGTAAATACGGGCAGATACCAGTTCCTATCTGCCCTCACTGCAGCATCAAAGGTACAGATAACGGTGATTCAAAAATGTGAAAGTGCCACACAAAAGCCTGACAATGGCAGGCACTGGGGAAAGGGACCCCAGAACTACAGGATTGCTGGCTTTGGGGCTCAGTCACCAGCAGGTTCATTTTATTTACTCCAGTGTGTCTGTGTGTGTGCATGTGCAGTGTGTTTAAAGAAAGAGCAGTTGGGACTCTAGGGTCCTATGGGGGGAGGGGGTCTTTGATCCAGGAGACGATTTGATGACAGTGGGACCAGCTCAGGTTCCTGTAAGCCCCTTACCAGCTTTGTCACCTGGCACAAGTCTCTCAACCTCTCTGAAAGCTTCCGAGGGCAGAACATTAGCTCTGTAGCTCCTGACACACTCAAATATTAACACTAGCTACCATTACTGTGAGTTACTGTGTCTCAAATCTGACACTGTCTCATGGAACCCACACAGCAACCTGAAGAGGTAGGTTCAGGCAAACTTTGGAGATAATGCAGTGTCGGTTCCAGACCACCACAATAAAGCAGGTCACATGAATTTTTTATAAAAGTTATATTTACACTATACTGTAGCCTAGTAAATGTGCAATAGCATTATGTCTAAAAAAACAAGGTAATACCTTCATTAAAAAATACTTTATTGCTAAAAAAAAGTTAGTGATCATCTGGGCCTTCAGTGAGTCGTAATCTTTTTGCTGGCGGAGGGTCTTGCCTCGATGTTGATGGCTGCTCACCGATCAGGGTGGTGGTTGCTGAAGATTGGGGTGGCTGTGGCAATTTCTTAAAACAAGACAACAATGAAGTTTGCTGCATTGATTGACTCTTCCTTTCACGAAATATTTCTCTGTAGCATGCAATGCTGTTTGACAGCATTTTACCCACAGCAGAACTTCTTTCAAAATTGGAGTCAATCCTCTCAAACCCTGCTGCTGCTTTATCAACTAAATTTATGTAATATTCTAATTCCTTTGTTGTCCTTTCAACAATGTTCACAGAATCTTCACCAGGAGTAGATTCCATCTCAAGAAACCACTTTCTTTGCTCATCCATAAGAAGCAACTCCTCATGTGTTAAAGTTCTAGCATGAGATTGCAGCAATTCAGTCATTTCTTCAGGCTCTACTTCTACTTCTCTTGCTATTTCTGCCACATCTGCAGATATTTCCTCCACTGAAGTCTTAAATCCCTCAAAGTCATCCCTGAGGGTTGGAATCAACTTCTTCCAAACTCCAGTTAATGTTGACATTTTGACCTCCTCCCATGAATCACGAATATTCTTAATGGCATCTAGAATGGTGAATCCTTTCCAGAAGGTTTTCAATTTACTTTGCCCAGATCCAGCTGAGGAATCACTATCTATGGCAGCTATAGCCTTATGAAATGTATTTCTTAAATAATAAGACTTGAAAGTTGAAATCACTCCTTGATCCATGGGCTGCAGAATGGATGTTGTGCTGGCAGGCATGAAAACAACATTAATCTCCTTGTACATCTCCATCAGAGCTATTGGGTGACTAGGTGCATTGTCAACGAGCAGTAATATTTTGAAAGGAATTTTTTTTTCTGAGCAATAGGTCTCAACAGTGGGCTTAAAATATTCAGTGAACCATGCTGTAAACAGATGTGCTGTCATCCGGGCTTTGTTGTTCCATTTATAGAGCACAGGTAGAGTTGATTTAGCATAATTCTTAAGGGCTCTAGGATTTTCAGAATGGTAAATGAGCATTGGCTTCAACTTAAAGTCACCAGCTGCATTAGCCCCTAACAAGAGAGTCAGCCTGTCCTTTGAAGCTTTGAAGCCAGGCATTGACTTCTCCCCTCTAGCTGTGAAAATCTTAGATGGCATCTTCTTCCAATAGAAGGCTGTTTCGTCTACATTGAAAATCTGTTGTTTAGTGTAGCCACCTTCGTCAATTATCTTAGCCAGAGCTTCTGGATAACTTGCTGCAACATCTACATTAGTACTTACAGCTTCACCTTGCACATTTATGTTATGGAAACGGCTTCTTTCCTTAAATCTCATGAACCAACCTCTGCTAGCTTCAAACTTTTCTTCCGCAGCCTCCTCACCCCTCTCAGCCTTCATAGAATTGAAGAGAGTTAGGGCCTTGCTTTGGATTAGGCTTTGGCTTAAGGTAATGTTGTGGCTGGTTTGATCTTCTATCCAGACCACTAAAACTTTCTCCATATCAGCAATCAGGCTGTTTCGCTTTCTTATCATTCGTGTGTTCATTGGAGTAGCACTTTTAATTTCCTTCAAGAACTTTTCCTTTGCATTCACAACTTGACTAACTGTTTGGCGCAAGAGGCCTAGCTTTCGGCCTATCTCAGCTTTCGACATGCCTTCCTCACTGAGCTTAATCATTTCTAGCTTTTGACTTAAAGTGAGAGAGGTGCGACTCTTCCTTTCACTTGAACACTTAGAGGCCATTGTAGGATTATTATATGGCCTAATTATCAATATTGTCGTGTCTCAGAGAATAGGGAGGCCCAGGACAGGAAGAGGAATGGGGAATGGTCCTTCAGGGGAATGGTCAGAACACACACAACATTTATGGCTTAAGTTCACTGTCTTATATTGCTGTAGTTTGGGCGCCCACAAACAATTACAATAGTAACATCAAAGATGACTGATCACAGATCATCATAACAGATACAAAAATAATGAAAAAGTTTAAAATATTTCAAGAATTACCAAAATGTAACACAGACACGTGTTACAGATGTTAACACTGTGGACACATGCTGTTGGAAAAATGGCGCCGATAGACTTGCTCCACTCACGGTTGCCACAATTTTTAAAACCGCAGTATCTGCGAAGCAATAAAATGACGTATGCCAGTGCTACAGTATAGTAGCGCCACTGCCAGAAAGGAAAGAGCCTCGAAGAGGTTGAGAGAGAAACCGGAGGGTGCGGCCAGCCCTGGAGGTGGAGTCGGGATTTTTACCAAGCAGCGAGTCCAGAGCCCGTGCTGTCAACGACGCGGTGCTGCCTTGTTTTCCGAGCCGCTGCGGAAGGGGCCAAGACGCGCTCCCTTAGGCGGCGGGCGACCCACAGGGACGAAGAACCTGGACAGAACCAGGGCCCGCAGCTACCCAGCACATTGAGACTAGGCCTCTGCGCAGCCGCCCTAGGCTGGTGTCCTGGGATAGCTGCCCCCACCGGGCATGCGCGCCAACGTTCCGCAGCGCCCCGCGCAACCGGAAGTGGCCGGGCCCAAGGCGGAGGGACCCGGTGGAGCGGAAGTCACTCTGTGAGACTGTGGAGACAGCGGCAGCGAGAGGATGAACAACAAGTTCGACGCGTGAGTGGCGCATGGCCGGCCCCCCCGGTACCCCTTCCCCTAACTGTTTCCCCGCGCCTGCCCCCTGTGGGGCCAGGGCGGCACGAACCAGGGCGGTACCGGCCTCCCTCCGGGGCTCGAGGGGGGGCCGGACGCGGCTTGGGCCGCGGAGAGGAGGGGGCTGGGGAGCGATGGTTGCAGGGGTCCCGGAGACGGCAGGGGGGGTCCAGACCAAGGGCGAAGGGCGGAGTCCGGGTGACGGGTGGCCGTGCCGCTTGGAAGGAGGAAATTTTTGGACGCCCCGCCCCTATGGGTGCGGGTTGCCGCCGACGTGGAGGGGTGGAGACCTCAGCGGTTTGGTTGTTTCTGCAGCCTTGCCGCCCTGCCTCTGAATTCAACTTTCGTCACACATTTACTCTGTGACTTGGGCAAGTCACTTCTCCACCTCAGAGCCTCAGTTTTCTCATCTGCATAGTGGGGACGGTAACAGCCTGTGTCTTAAGAGTTGTGAAGATGCAATGAGGTAATGTGGGTGCTGCGCTCAGTACAGTGGAGGGCTCAGTTGCGGAATTCTCATCCTCTTCCTGAAACTCTTCCTACTATCCTTTTTCCTCCCCCTCCTGTTCCAGTCTTCCATCACACTGTACTTTGTCGTCGCCTCCTCCTGCACTCTATAAGTACCCACTCTGATTCCTAGTTTCACCATCAAACAGTTTGGAGGTACAGAAAGGAAATGCAAAAGTATCCTTGACTATTTCCCTCCAAGGATTGTGTCTTGAGGTATATTATGTTCTTACCTCTTTTCTAGTGGTCTAGTAAATCTGTCTTCTCATCTGAAGACCTGGCTTTCTAGTCCTAGACCCACCAGTTACCAGTTATTTCACAGCAGAAAAGTTACCCAGTCTCCAAGCCACTGTTGTCCAAACCACATTAGTGGATAGTACCCTGCTGCTGCACCACGGCGTGCTAAGGATCAAATCACACTCGGCAGTGCTTCAGGGTACTTGTGCATATTGCTGAATAGTGAGATATAAATGTAAAGTAGCATTACTATTAGTTTAGGTTGTGACCTGGTGCCACTGATGGGAAATTGGGGTTTTTCCAGTACAGTGAGTGCTGGTGTGCAAATTCAGGGGATACTGGATTTGAAACACCCCAGGCAGCTCAGGAAGGTTTTCTGGTTGCTGAAAGGTCTCTGCTCCTTCAGAAAAATCTTTGGCAGACCCCTTCTCCATCCTGCT